CTCCGTAGGCAGCCTCGTCCTGTTGAGAGTTAACGTTAAGGCTCTCTCGAGCCGGTCAAGTGACATTAGTTTACATAAATAGTCGCACCTACGGTCTCATTATACAGGATGTCCCAGACTTACTTTACCACAACGTTAATGGAAGATTCTTCAGGCGATTTGGAGACGATTTTTCCTCAGAAAATGTCCAGGTACCAATCATTTTCGAATTATAAACGATTGAAAATAAAAAAGCCTTTTCGTAAACTAAGCTTTGAGAAAATACATAAATGATTAACAAAACTACATTTTTTAGTTGATTTCAGGTAAAGTTTACTTTAGTAGAATTTTAATTTAAGGCTTAGTTACAAAGATACATGACTTCAAAAATTGAGAATATTAAAAAAATGATTATCTTCCTCGATATTTTCGCTAAGGAAAAGTTGTCTCCAAATAATCTTAGGAATCTCTTATATAAACGGATAGTACGGTAAGATAAACGTCGTTAACTTAGCCTCATCGAATCGCAAATAATTGCACAACGATTGCGATAGATTGGCAGAAATACATAATTATATTGCATTTATCCACCGTTTAATAAAGCACGAGAATTAGCATAAAGAATGAGGGCCTACATGTGAATTACAATCGAGAACTATGAATAAAATCTGCATATCTAATGTATGATTGAGAAGTGTAACAGTATTTAACTTTTATAACACTTTTAGCAATCTACATTATATACATATTTAACTGCGTTATATTTGTTGATGCGCTTTTAAAGTAAAATAAATATTTTTAAAGCTATCTGTTAAATTAATCATACTTAAATAATATTGTAAAAGAAAGTAATCAAACTACAATAAATAATCTATATATTTTATAAAATTAATTCAGTTAGATCTCTCTTTTATTTATTCGCTTGATGTCTGAATACATAGATAACATATGTATTGTGCATATTTTAATTTTTATTGTATAGACTGGAAAGGGCGAACTAAACTTTCTATTGTGAGAAAATTTTTGCAGCTGTATCCGTTTAATTGAATGTACACAGCTGCTCGCGGCGGAACACCTAATAGGGATATACACGGGTTGCGGAAATAGCGGCTAGCCAAGAATGCCTTTCGTAAGTGAGGGCGATTGCGCGTTTTGCGCGCTCATGACAATGCGAAACGAATTTGCATACACGCGAATTAATGCCATGAGACGGTGAACCGACGACGTCCGGGTGGCGATAGGGCTTAGTTGGCTCGAATGAGACTCGTTAAACACAGCTGGTAATAGTCAGCCGACAAAAGTGGACCGACGTTAGATTTATGGCGATGGGAATGCTCGAGGTTTCGCGATATTTAACCATTTTATGTCCATCTTTAAGCGCGTTCGAAATAAATTGTCATAAATCTAATTAAGTATCTTTGCTGTAATATAGTGCTATTATCGTGTTAATTATCAAGTTTTGTTGTATTATTATATATTGTGCTGTAATATGTTGTAATCTTGAGAGTGAGATATGCACAAGATGATTCGCATTCCTATTCTCACTAAATTTAACCACGTAATTAATTAATTATTGATAATTATAATCACGATAGATAAAGAGTTTCATGTCAAGAGCTGTTTTCTATAAATTTCTTGCGTAATTATGATATGATTCCACGTGCGAGATTGGCGCAACACATCATATGGACGCATTACGTCTAATGAAACGAGTTAATTAATCTAGAACATCTTGTGTAAGCGCGATTTGAGTCCGTCAAATTGAACATTCTCAATTAGCCTCTTCGAGAATGATATAATTTTTAACGAACAAAGTATTAATAAGTAGAGTAAACGTCAAATAAATTTCCGATAATTATATTTATCTGGACAGTCTTGGCAAATATATAAATAAAATACAAAATTATTTGAAGCTAATTCTTTTAAGTTTTTTGCTTAGATATGTTATCTCATTTTTTAAATATTTAATAAAATTCTAGAATATAAAATTATACAATATAATAATATAATATCAAATGTAATCAACATTTTAAATTGAAATAAAATGGATTAATAAATTAAAACTTTTCGAGTTTTTATACTTAAAAAACTACAAAGTAGTGTACAATTTAGAAAATTTTTTTCAATGCTGTAAAAAACGCGCGAAAAAATTAAAAGCACATGATTTAATAAAAAAAAAACTTTATTTTAATGTAACAACATTTTACACGTGCAATATCTCATCAGAATTGCGAAGACGTACAACTGTAAAGTAGATTACTTTACTTTCTCACGACGTCGCAAGGTACCGCAATTCCGTGTTTCCCACCTTGCGTTAATTAATTGCGTGCATTGCACTTTCCCGTCAAACATTCCTTTCTCGCAGTTTATAAATAACTCGTTAACATATTTTACATCGTTAATGATACATGAATGAATAACTATTAGCCGATAAAAATAGAATAATAGCATAAAATAGTAATTAATGACAAAAATAAATTGATATATGAGCCATAATGTTCATAAAAATATATATATGCTAAGATTTTTCACTTTAATTACTAATAGGGAAGATCTGAGTGAACAGATTAATACTTAATCATTAATATTAATTGAATATATTATTTACAGAATATGATTTACGTTGCAATGACTTGATATTGCTGTAGTTAATGGCAAAAACTTTAAAACTAAGTCCTCAATTATATTAAAACAAAGATGCACTTTATACTGGAAATAATTGATTTATTGCAGCTTCGACTTTGACTGGCCTAGTAATAACAAGCTTCTCATTTATGAGCTATGTAAAATTCAATTTCCCCCTAGCAATATATGATTTATGCATATATGATTTACATACATGCATGATCTACATTTCTATGTTTTTCATTTTTAGTGTTTTTTAAACTTATATAAGTTTCACATACGAGATGCAATTATTATATACAATTTACAATTATTAGAGTTTTTACAGTGGATGAGATAAAGTCTGTATATTCACTTAATCGAAAATACATAGAATTTGCATATGTAATAATATATTATACGAGATAATAAAAGTCAAGTTAAAGTAATAAATGAAATACATAAATTAATAAGGAAATTTGTTTTTTGCGTAATTTTTTAAATTTATTTAATTATTCTTATTTTTTATTTATTCTTATCTTCTGCACAACATTTTTTTTTATTTTGCAAATATATGAATTTTGGTGAATCAAATGACATTAGCACTAAAGTTACTTTCCGTCGCGTTTATCAAATTGTGCGTATAACGTTATGTAATTTTATCGCTAAACGTCAAAATAATCTCCGGCATATTCATTGAAGTCACCTTTCAAGTAATAATATGTAGGTGGATGTTATGTAAATTTTGATAGAGCTCATCCACAAAGCGTTAATGACTACGCACTTAGTCAGTGCTAAATAAAACGACTATACGCATCTTTTCAGTTTCTAATCACGTATTTCCTTTCTACGTACGCTGTATTCTCGAGAAATATAATGACGATCTTGACTCTGAACCTGCAATGCATTATATAAAAATACATACTATGCTTACAAATTTGCTTATTAAAATATAATTATGCAAATTACATTTTATTTTAAATTATGTTTTAATTATATTTGTATGGTTTCTCAATTAATCACGATAATTAATTTCTTTCTTTAATATAATTTGTTAATATAGTTATTTATGATACATCTCAGAAAATATCACGTTAGAAGAGAAGTCATTAAAAGAGTCACACGAGAAAAAAATAATAGATTTGAATTTTTTCCTATTTTTCAAACTATCACATGTTTTCTTTCCATTATTCTTTAGTGCAAAATTACAAATGCAAACATTATTTGATTTTTTTACGAGTTTTTATATTTTTTATTTATATTTCTTATTTATATTTATATTTATATTTTATATTCGTATTTATATTTCTTAATACATTTCTGATAGTGGTAAAAAATGATATTAAAAAATTTTGATATGTATAACGCAGCTGTTTAATTATTAAAATGAAGAAGTAGATTCCTTGAGTTTATAAAACAAATTAGATACATATGTGTATTAGAAAAATTGTAGCGATTGTAGCAATAATCTCAATCGGCAAATACAAACGCATGTTATGTCACTGCGGCAATCACAATGAAATAACATTAAGCCATTCGCGACTTGTGTGTTTAGAGCTGTTTCCAGTTAACAAGACGTGGGCGGGTATTATGCAAATTTCGGCATTCTTCACGTTAATGGCACGATCGTGAGGGCATGCGACTAACATCATGATAAATAGGGACAGGCATGGTTTATGATGAATCGAATATATTCCGTTTCGTATTTGTGAGTACGGTTATTGTTACTGTGAAACAACAGCAAAATGAAATATATAATCCATTAATTTCTATACAATAAAGAAAAAATCGTGTTTATAAATATCATTAAATTGCCAAACTTTTTACTCATTAATTTTGTTACTCAAAATTTATTAAAAATTCTATTTATCTATCTAAATATTTGCAAAAATAGATTTAATCATCTAAATATTTTACATTACATCATAAATTCATGATGAAAATTGGATCAAAAGTGAGAGATGCAAGACTTGTCGTGATTTATAAAGATGACATTGATCGATAACGTTATCAGCTATGAGATTCCGTTATGAAGACTATCTCGTTTTTATTAAACGTTTAAAATTTAAATCTCATTCCGACAAGTTATAACATAACATTATATAAAAAGTGCTCTGTATCTTTTATGCAAATTCGCATTTGTACGTTGAATTCGATCTTTTCTTATCTGCTGAATGATACAGTAAATATTATTAATCGGCAAAGATAAGCAATTCTGTGAATAATTATTGGAGATTAAATTCATATTAAATATTATTATAATTTTATAATATAACTTCATGAAATGGATTCAATGGTCTCGAAATCGCGTAATATCTCGTCTACGCATTTTCTTAACGATAAGATAGCGAGCAATCCGGTACTACAGTCTTCGTGTATCGGTAAATCTAACATAAAAACGCAATTATTTGTTTCAGGTGAATTCATTATATTATGCCATTAATGCCAAGGTTGGACAACATCTATTCTGAGACTTCTTGTATAAAAACAACAGATGAATGGATGGAAAAAGGTAAGTTTCTCTCAAATTTTATAAATTGGAGACTCACTTATGCATTTACTTCCATTTATTTTAATTTACTATGTGAATTGCTTTTACAAACAGCAATTAAACTGCAATTGACTGATTGAATAGAAAACCTGTTTAACCATGTTAAACTTAAACTAATGTTTATGAAAATAATCGTATATTATCTGTTTTAATCACCTGGAAGTAGTTAGCGACTTACACTCGGTTATTATATTTTCCCCAAGGCATCAATTCGAGATTTTAATCCAGTTTACCTTTCAAACCTATCCGCGTACTCTGTTGTGTACACATTAATACATTGCGTTAAGTAATATATATAAATCAGTGAATATAATCTCAGTTATTTCGTGCTCGAAATTATGGCTATTTAATGCTTGTTCGCAAAAAGTATATTTAATCTCTTATTACAAAATTAATTTGTAATCACAGTGCTCTTTCTAATTCTGTGTGTGCTGAAATTCTTAATGGTTTTAATTAATATTTTTGATAAAAATTTTTATAATATATATTTAAAGTAATTATTTATAACCATTAAAAATTTCATAACACAGAATCAGAAAAAGCAATTGCAAATTAATTCTGTAGTAAGAGATTAAATATTTATATTTTGCAAGCAAGCATTAAACAGCCGTAATTTCAAACTGAGATTATATGATTGATATATATATATATACATATTACTTAACGCAATGTATTAATATGAATATTACAGAATACGCGAGTATAGATTTGAAAAGTAATTTGGATTACTTAGAAACCCAGAATCGATGTAGGGAATTTATATTGCAAGTAAATTATTTTTGTTTACAATATTTATATTAACAAGCTTGTCCAGAATTTTCGAAATATTAATTCAAAATTTCAAATAACATTTTTATTTTTAAGTAAAATTATATATTTATTAAATAATTTTATATTTTTCCTTTTAATTGAATATTTAATATTTCCTACTTACTAAAAAGATCATTAATATTCTAATAAACTATTAAACAATTAATAATAACACAATTCACAGATTAAAATTAAAGTTAAAGAAAATATTTATAAAATGCATGGATTTTTGAAGAAATGCAATGATGTGTTATTTATTTAAATTATTTATGCATCGCGGATTAATACCGAGAAAATCGTGACAGTCGTGTAGGAAAGATTTACGTGTCAATCCCCTGCAAACGCATACCTTACATCGCGTTGCAGTTGATTGACCTCCATGTTCACTGTGCATAGCAATAGCAGTGGCAGTGTAAGTGTTTGCACCTATCAAACTCGTGCAATTCATGCGTGAAATTTGTAGCTCTAATACAATTTTTTACATGTTATATTATTGTTTTTAAATGTCATATTATTGCTACAAATTTGTATGCAATTATATCACATACTATAATCATCACATTCTATAAAATTATATTTATAGAAACGTATACTGTTTCTATAAAATTAAAAATAATAATAATAAGTACAATGAAAATGATATTGCATATGCAAAAATAATTAAATTCCTAAAGCCTATTTATATGATTATTATTTTATTGCTATTATACATATAATAATATATTTGTTATATCTCCAGAATATAAATTAAATAAAATTACCTTTATATTTTTATGAAAATGAGAATTCTTTAAACATATGTTGGAATATTTGTGCGCACAATTTTTAAGAATATTTTGTTTCTGTTCGGAACTGGATATAGCTTAAAGGTGAGTGGTGTTGTGTATCAGACAAGAATTTCACATTGCAAAAGAAAATAAAAGTGCTCATTAGTAGTCAGGGTCATTAAATTATAACCATGTTAGGCTATATTTAGAAACGAATGGAGGTCGAGAATACTTTGCCAAAAGCTTCTTCTCTTTTCTTAACATTGTATCATGATCATCTAATCATATTAAATTGACTGGCGTTAATATAAAAAATATATTTTCTATTTCAATTATGTCTTTTATTTTATGTAAAACTGTATTAATGTGGCATCAAAAACGCGCTCTTAATGATATGCAATATTTTTCTCGACATCAAAATATTTTCTAAGATAATGTATTTTTGTATTATATTAACTTCTAATTATAATCTTTACAAAACTGAATAATTGTATTAATTTATGAGCAATAAACATTATTAAAATATCAAAATGTAAATATATTTTTTTGTATTATTTTATATTAGTGGTATAATTTATTTTTTCTAATTTTTGCATTGAAAAATTGCAGAACATTTTTTTATTCTACGTAGGGAAAAAATCAATATTTCTTCTAATACTTTTTTCGCGCAAATTCCGACTATAACATATATTTTTTGTAACATTTCTCAAGGTCGCCGCGACTGAAAACGGTGGTAATTAAGTGCCGCGGACTTTTGACATAATTCATGATCGGTGACCTTCACACTTATCGTAAGCAGATAATGAGCTTCGACACGAAAATGTGCACCTTTTCGTTTGAAATTCTCTCTACGAAACGATAAGAAAGCATGATATCATGATTTCCTCGTAACCTCCGTCGAGCTAATCGCGATCCCGTGGGAACCTCTGCACCTTCTACTCCTTATACTACGTGAAATAAATTTGCAAGCGGTTGTTAAAGTCCACTGTGCACAACCGAGGGAGAAGCAAAACTCTTATCTCGAATATCATCGGCTTGCTTGCACGTTTATGATCGTTATTGTCTGTCTAATAAGAGCGTGTTTGACAAAACTTTTAAAATATTTATTATAAAAAATGAAAAAAAAAATTCCTCATATATACTACTCAATCAATACTATAACACTTGTATTAATAAATCATCTAATCACTATATATGTCAATTATTACTTGACATCTCCGAGGCTTTCCACCAATTTTACAGCATACTGTCGAGATAATTGTTTAACTTTATCTTAATTAATCTCCAGACATTTTAATTGGATTTGCGTTTGGTGAGACCGAATGATCAGTCTGGGATGTTTTAACGTTAAAATTTATCTCCGTACTATTCTCATATTATTCTCCAACAGTAGAATCTAACAATCTAACAGTCGTAATTTCTGTCGATTTAAGACCGATGTAATCGCAGAAGCTAAACTAGAGAACTATTGATCACAGAGAAAATTGAGAAGATTGAGTACTTCAAACAGTAAACAATAAAGAAAGAGAGTTTCAGAAGCGACCTAAAAAGGAACAAAAAGAAAGAAAAAAATAGGAAATCTAAAATGTGAGCAGATAATGTGATTTGATGAGAAAGAAACTTTCTAGGTGATTTAAAAGTTTCCCAGACGAAACATCTTCAGAAGAATTTCAAGTTTCGAAAGTTTCTGTTTATTATTACGAGTTATTATTAACATTGGCATTTTCTCAAAACGTACAAGAAGAAGTGCCCATTGATTAAAATAGAGTAAAGGATAAATCTGTAATTATGTGGAATCAACTATAGCGTAATTCTTATATTTCACTATACTGAAAAAAATGTGTTAACTCGACTAAACCTTTCAACTAAATATTATTTTGTTAATTGAACGTATAAAAAATGTAAATCAAATACAACATATTAAATCTAAGAAAACGTACATTTTTACTTAAATACTAATATATGTTCAATTAACAAAATAACAATTTAATTGAAAGATTGAGTGAAGTAAAGACATTTTCTTTCAGTGTACTAGAACTCTATTTGTTTTCTCTCCCGATCTCTCGAAGAAAAACGTCATAAACATGTTAATGTTGTCTGTCGCGTCATTCACGATTTCTAACACCTAACTCGCGCGAACATGACACTACACAAGGATCTTGAAAACACGTTTTCCTATCGTCATACGTGCGATCGCTAGCTATAATTAGTCGTCACTCGAACGTCGCGTTATCTCGCGGATAATCGACGGATAATCACGTCGCAATGACGAGATACCTATTTTTGTCGTCGATGACAAAAAATCGGACCTCGATTCCGAATGATGGCGAGTGACAATTGCACGCAATTTTTCCTGCTGCGGCGCGACGCACCGTTATATGTTCCGCTTTTTCGTCGCTTCCTCGTCATGAGAGAATTTCATTCTCCGCACGTCGTCGCGATTTAGACAATGGCGAGAGAGAAATTACGCCGATGAGTGTTGTGAGAAACCCGGTGAGCGGCGTTGGCGCATTGTCAGAACGGATCGCGTAATTGGCGAGAGATCTTCGTTTTTATCCTGCGCCAAATACGAGAGTGCTAGGGCCAGGATGAAACGGCCTGAACGAAAACGCGGTTTCTCATCCGCAAAAAGCGTCCGCGTGACCCCTTTTTCATCCAACTTTTTTTAGAATTGAAGAAGCGCCAAGGAATAACATGTGTCGCCACGGAATAACATGTCCGACACGTTTTGAATGTGTGGCGGGCTGTGCTGGAACGATCATATTTTTTCGGGAGTATCGAGACACAATAGGAAATGGAACCAAAATATATTTGTTTGTTTCATACAAGAGACTAAACCTTGGGACTTTCGCGGATTTATTGTACTCGTAACTCGTAACATTTGCGTATACGGTTTAGATTTTATTTTACGTTTATTTGATAAGAAAGGAAATCATTTTGCTATACTATACAATTTTTTACACTTTTTTCATTATATAATTTTTCTGATTTTTTTATTAAGAATCTATTTTAAAAATGATAGATTTTTAAAAGATAATTATTATTTAAGCGAATAACTTGTGGGAAAAGTTTAACTTGGGAAAATTCATTTTATGCCTTATGCCTTATACCTTATGTAAAAGGAATTTACGGTTGCATTTTCCATCGGAATATTAGCGGAATAATTATTAAAGGGAAGCTATATTGTTTCCCGTAAAGCGTTTCGCAACGCTTGCATGAACAGTTGAGTTTTCTCCTCGGTCTTATCGAATTATCGTGTCGACAGTTTGTAACAACTTTAAAACTCCATCCTGTGCAAAGTTCTGTTAAATGATTTCACGTGAAAAAGAATTTGATATACTTAACATGCGCAATATTTTAATATATATTCGTGATGTA